TAAGGGCTTGTGCATTTTCTGGCTCGGATTGCATTGAAGTAGCTCCGGGTGCCGGTACCACTAGGGACTTGTGCGTCTCGTACCCGCTCCTTCTTCATTCTTGCGCTTTCCCGGGAGCGTTCGGACCAGCTGTCTCTAAGGGTAGCCAAGGCTTGTGCTCTGCCTCTGCCACACGAGTTCCTTTATCACCCCGCTGCGGTACGAGATCACTCGTGTGAAAATCGGGACGCCCGCGGTAATTCTGCTTTCTCAGCTTGAAATCTTACCCCAGGGTTGATGGTAGCGACTAGAGGAGAGGAGGCAGAGCTATCCCCTCTTTACGCTTCCCAGAAATAACCTGAAGGAAAAGGCAGGCGTAACTGTGCAAGCGAAAAACCTGGGATTTTAACGCCGCCTTTTGATGTGAAACGATGTCAGGTTGAAAAGCAAGCTGGGTCTGTTCTTCATTGAGCTGATTTCATTTCGCCTGTACCCATCAGGAGTATAAAACAGTGGAAAAGTTTGAAATTCGTTTCTGTTGACTCGGGCACCGAAGCTGGAAATTACTTGTTGGAATACCTTTGAATTCCAGATGTAACTAACTTCCTTAAATGCGGTTTCCTGTTTTTCTGTTTGGAGACCCTCAAAGACTGCTCTTTTCGAAGCTGTCCCTGTCAGGATACTGTTAGGCAGATGTGCCCAAACATTTCCCCTGGCAACAGAGGGATGCTGTGGCCCGGTTTTAGAAGAGGAGCTGAAAGAATGCCCTCGACAGCGAATCCGGCGGGGCATAAAAAAGATATAAAAAACGCGTGCTGTTTGGTCAGGCGGATTTGTTCCCACCCCAACTCTCCCGCTAACCTTTCTCTTGGCCTGCATGTTTTACTGACCCGTCCGGGTTTCTGAGCACCTGGTAGGGTGTCCTTAGGATGCTGCCATTAGCACAACTGCCCTTCCTCAAGCCGTCTCCTGCCACCACCCCTCTCTGCTCTCACGTTGCAGGTCAGTTTGGGGTTTAGGTGGGTTCGGGGTGCGTGTCTCCTAAGAGGGTTCTCCTCAGTCGCTGTTGTTTTCTGCTGAAACCCCCCCCCCTCCAGTTTCTTTCCCTCCAGTTTCTTTCCCACCAGTTTCTTTCGCTCCAGACACAGGCTGTGGGCCCTGGTGCATTCTTGTGGCTGAGGGTCACTGTTATCAACAAGCATGAAGTTTGTCACCGGGGTCTTTCAGTAACGCCATGCGGGACCATCACCTAAATGTGCCTTTTTTTGCAGTTGGCCTTTCCTAGATTTTTCAGATCCTGGCCTTACTGGCGTGGCCCTGATTTGCAACCACAACTTCTTGTCTTCCAGACTTGTCAGGAGACGAAGGATCTCAGTGCTCTGACGAAAGCAGCCGATTTTGTGAAAGCATTCATACTTGGGTTTCAAGTAGAGGTGAGTATGCCAACAGCTCGACTGCGAGATTCCTCGGATTGGCTTGCATGGCATCTTTGGCCTCTGGAAATTACAGCAAGAAAGAAAGAAAAATGCTTAGGTGGCTTTCTAGAACTAAACTTGTTGGAAACTGTGACTGGAGTGCAAGTCTGATTTCTCAAGCCAGTGCGGGACGAAGAGGTGATCTTCACACTGCACGCGGCGACGTGCTCAGCCGCAAGCGAAAGGCAAGCAGGGAGCGATGGCCTGGCTGTGAGGGGCTCTCCGCAGGCAGAGGCGCTTCATTCAGCTTCGGTGCCCATCAGTAACTGTCGGTGCGTTCAGAACTCAGACTTCCCTAGGAGAAAACCAACCCACGTTTGGCAGTGTGCCGCTCCGTGCGGCAGCCGGTAACTTCAGGGCACGGGCGGGTCTGGGGCGAACGTGGCGGGGCCTGAGCGCACGTAGGGCTGTCTGCACAGAAACAAAAATCTGTACTGCTGGTGAGGAAAGTGCCACTTCAGCCTTGGCTGACTGGTGTTCGAGATGTTAAGCGGAGGAATACTAGTGATGTCATCCGTTCGGATGCAGGAGGAGAACGTGGGTGTCAGCTCTGTTGCACTGTAACGCACCGCTCACGCATCTCTCTGTTTCAGGACGCTCTTGCTCTCATCAGATTAGATGATCTCTTCCTAGAATCGTTTGAAGTTACAGACGGTAAGTACCGTCCGCTGCCGTACTCCAGCAGTCGCGCGTCCCATCCCTGAGTACCTGCTTTGGTTCCCTTCCCCTTGCTCTGCCTGTGTCGGTTATCCTCAAGGATCAGGAAAACCTTCCACAGAATTACCGTCCAGGTGGCTTGAAAGGGTGGTTTTTGTAAGGTGTCCCAACAGAACCCCCCAAACCTTCATCCTTGGAAGAGATTTGGTTTTCCTCATCACAATGCAAATGTTTTAAACTTAAAGGGGACACTGAGTGTTTGGGGGGATAACATCCATCAGGTTTTTAAACTGGACTAGGCTGTGTTCCTCCCGCCGCCCTGACAGGGAGGGGTGGGAAGCAGACAGCAGAAACACTTCCTGTATGACGGGTGCCCCGTTCAGAGCAGAATCTAAATCTGATGGGTTTCATTTCTACTGCTGTGAATTGTCTGCGCTCCGTTCCTTCTCTTAGACTCGCTTGCCGAGTAACAAAGCCAGTGCCTTCGGCTGCAGGTCCCCGACAACTCTGCTCTGCTGCGGTCGCAGAGCACTGGGTGTGATTTCCACCTGTAGCCACACAGGTGACGGTGTGCACCTGTCGGGAAAGCTGCTTTCCTCTTAATTAACACTCAAGTGGTCTCCGTAAGCGGAACGAGCGTTACGGAAACCGACACCGCCGCTGTCGTTCTTGTCCTAGTCAAACCTCTGAAGGGAGACCATCTGTCGCGAGCCATAGGGAGAATAGCAGGGAAAGGCGGAAAAACAAAATTCACCATAGAAAACGTGACCAGGACGCGAATCGTTCTTGCGGACGCGTAAGTATTGACTCCCTTCCTTCTAGGCACGGCGCGCTCCCGACACGTCTCCTCTTTCAGGAGCAAAGATAACTTTGGTTTGTTTGAAGCTGTTGTTGTGTTGCGAGGCGCGCGATTTCGGCGTTACTCCTCCTTAACGGTACGCGAGCGTGTGCTTGACCTTTTGAGAACAGTGCCACCAGCATGCCTACCCTTGCTTCTATGCAGGGTACGAATTCCTGCCTAGGAAGAAGCAAAGTTGAACCCAACAATCCTGCAACAAGTATTTCCTCTTAAAAAAGCTGCTACGCTGTGAAGTTGGCAAGTTGTACCTCTCTTGTACAAGGGGTTTAGAAGAGCATGGGTTCTGTTGCTGGTGTTCAGATTTTGAGTCTCTGGGTTTTTTTAATTACAGCTGTGGAAAAGGAACTAGTACACTCGTATGAAATTCCATGTTCCTCTCTCACCTGCAGCTTAGATGTCAACTACGTAATCACAGAGAGGTTTTTTTCCCTGTTAACTGATGCTACTTTACTGCTTTTTCCAGGAAAATTCACATTTTGGGATCTTTTCAGAACATTAAAATGGCACGAACAGCAATTTGCAATCTAATTTTAGGTAAGTGCCATTATCTAATCTCCACTCCATAGCACTGGGTCTTGCAGTCTGAGAAATTGTTTTCTGTGGGTCTTCCCTGTGTGCCCACACCTGCATTTGGAGTGGATGCTTGCTGCAACGAGGTAGCCTGTTGCCCTTAAGAGAAGGGTTTGGAGAAGAAGGAGGGAGCCTGGGGCTTGGTTTCTGACCCCAAAACCCTGGCTGTGATGCAGAAGGCAGACTCTGCTTTTGCTGCAGCTTTCCCCGAGGGCTGGCTCAGGCAGTCTTGGGGGGGCAGTGCTGTTTTGAGTGCTCTGCTGGGGGGGGTCACCCAGGCTGACAGCAGGTCAACCCTGCAGTGGCAGACAGGGTTAGCTGCCCGTGCCCATCCTTCTCACCCGCGGGCTTATTCTCCGCTCCAGCACAGACAGAAGCATCGGAGCAAAACTTCTGTCTGTGCCATGCGTGATCCTGTTTGCTGACGGAACTTGTGCTGTCTTCTGCAGGAAGCCCTCCATCCAAAGTGTATGGCAACATTCGGGCCGTGGCCAGCAGAGCAGCTGAACGATTCTGAGCTGCAGCAGCCGCACCGCGAAGCTGGGGGCCAGGAGTCCTGGCTTCTGTATGCACGAGGCCTGGGGCTACAGCAGCACTCGCTCTTCTGCTTGACTGGGAAGCCCAGAAGATGGGGACTGTGCAGTCAGTTCCATTCAGACATGGCATCCGATTTGCACAAAATACACGTGTACAGTCATTAAAAGTTACTTTGAAGTGGTTGTGTTGGTAGCAGAAGCGTGGGTACCTGATTTTACTCAAACACAAACATGCTTCGGTACCAACTTTCTGAACAGCAAGGGACTGCTGTGAGGAATTCCCAAGCCTTTGAGGCTGAAGGAATTGGCATAGTATTCATACCCACACATCCTGCGTCAGTATCTTCCTGGAAAGAGTCAACCGGACTGCAGAGTTAAGGGCCAGCCACCCAACCCCTCGCTGCTGCTGCTGGGGCAGCGCATCACACACAGACGCTAAGCGGCAGGGAGGTGAAGAGTGTACTTCAGCTTCATCCTAGAATCTGCACCTGCCTCGATTTTTTCTTTTCCATTTTTATTTTCTCCCAGATGCTCCCTCAGGGCAGCCTAGGGAAGCTCACCACCCCCAGGCTAAATACTTCCCCATGTATGAGGGCAGAAACAACTGCAAAGTGCTGTGTCTCCTCAAAGTGCTACAGGTGTGCGACAGGGGAGCAGGGGGGATCAAAGGCCCAGTCGCAGTCCCATCTGACCTGATGTGGGCCCTCCTCTCCTGACCCTGCCAGCCAAGCTTGTTCCCACGCCTCTCGCCGAAGGGCTTGGTTCAGGTCTGTGAGCCAGGAGTGAGACAAGGTGATCAGAGCACCAGCAAACCGAGTTGCCAGTGCAGCACTTCAGGGTGTTACGGACAAATTCGTTCAAGCTTTCAGCCGCTGAAAGGTGTAAGCCTTCCTGAGAGACCGAAGGGCACAGCTCTCAGCAGCCGGCTGGCAAGGGAGAGTGGCCCTTCTGAGCACCTCGGGGTGAAACAGCACCTACCCCCGAGCACCCTTCCTGCTGCCTGGTTGCCAAGGGCATTGCCTCCGTCAGCCTGAGGGACAAGGGGAGAGGGAGGCAAGGACACGCGCGTGCTGACACCAGCCAAAAGCTGCAGGGAGGCAGAAGGCCCACACCACCGCAGCGCACAGCAACAGCCGCTGCCGGGAGAGAAGTGTGTTCAGGAGCAGAGCTCCCACACCTTTCCTTCTCCACCTCCATGAAGGTTAGGGGGGTTTGGGTTTTGAAACCACCTTCCGCTTGCCACACTCAGGCTGAATTTAGCAGGATTTAAACTTTTTATCTACTGGGCAATTCACAAAGAGAACCAGGTGTGCCTTGAAGGAAAACACCACTGAAATGAAGCCCGAAGTGCTCGGGGGCAGCACCCTGGGAGGTGTTTCGAGCAGGCGACAGCGGCTACGCGCAGCAGGTCTGGGTTTCCTCGGCGCGGGGTGCAGAGCCGATCAAGCCGAAGGGGAAAGGTCTAGGGAAGTACTGCAGCACCCCAGCCAAGGTTCAAATAGTTTATTTTGTATTCATAGAGTATGAAGGTTCTTATAGTTCCCACAACGTATGATGTAGCATGCAGAGGAAAAACTAAACATTCAACATAAATCATTTTTTCCCCACACGAACTAAACAAAGAAAAACCAAACCAACCGGCCTCATCCCTCCCCTTCCAATCCCCCTACGGAAATAACATTAGCACTAGTTTCTATGCCAGCCAAGATATGCACAAGCAAGTAAGAGAAATCAAAAGCATTTGCTAAAATGTTTGTAACAAATACTTATGTACAAAAAATTCACAAAAGACCAGTTCCCCCTTGAAGCAGAGCACATGGCAGTTGACACTGGAACAGATACCACCACTGGCTGGGATTAGAAGCCACGTACTGATCCAGAGGAAGAAAAAAGTTACATGTAGTGGAGATTTTTGTTTTTGAACATTAACATTTACCAAAGTTTGGCAACATTATCTTTTAAATTATGCAAATTATGTAAACAAGAGGAACATGTCAAATCGATCTACATGCAAAACTTCATGTCATGCAAGGACACCAAGCACCTGGATTTCTCTCTCACAGACAGAGCCCATGATGTGCAGCACTCAGTTGAAGGAACAGCTATGGCAGACAGGTGCTCGACTGAAGTCGGGTCAGACAACCTGCACTTTCCGCTGCTGATTATAAAACGATTCTCTTAATAGAAAAACTACTATACAGGAAAGATGGACTGTCCTAAAAAACCCTAGCAAATGTTTTTCTTCCAGCCAATAGTACCATTGCAGAAAAGGGAAGGGATGATATAAAGTTGTAAAACATGGCTCGCTACTTTTATATCACACAAATATATCAAGTTACCATCCGTTACAAATTATGATATGGACAAATCTAGAAAAGAAAAAGATTCTCCAGGTGAAGGTCTGGAGAACCGCAAGAGGTATAAATTTAGAGAGTGTGAAGTTTTCCTCCTCTACGGCATAGGTTAACAAGATTTTCCCCCTGTATGAATCCTATATACATATATATAAAACATTACCAGTTATTTATGCTACCTGTAGTATTCTTTAAATGCAGAGGGGAAACTACCACGGTTGGAACAACAGGATCTCAATGGCAAGACCACTTGCTAATCGAAGCGTTGTATAAAATAAGTAGAAGGGAAGCCTGCGCAGCTCCGTCGACCCTAGCGCCGTTCAGCGAAGCACGAGAGAGCCACCGTGATCGCCTCTAACACCTTGAGCAGCTGTATCCCAAATTAATCCAGAACAGCAGATTTGCCTTGACTTCAGGACGGCTGTCACTGCTCCCAGTTCCCAGGTGACGAAATCTAGCGGCCACCAAAGCATTCTGCGGTTACTGTACGCACACGAGGGCTAGTTCTTGGCAGTAGCATTAAACTATATTCTCTTATTAAGTAGAATTGTACTAAGTTATTTAGCAAAGAGACACAGTCCCTGGTAATATATTAACAGGTATAAATAAACTTAGCCTCCTGTGTTACAAAAAAATGTAATTAAGGTGAGTTAATAAGAAGCAATGCTTTGTCAGCCAGTCAATATATAGAAACATCTGAACAGTCACAGGAAAAGGAAGAAAAGAGTTGACCTAACACCCAGTTAAAATTTTACATTCTTCTACTATATATATAAAACTGTGTGAAATAAAAGTAAGGATGTATATCCATATATTGAACTGTTAATATTCTGCTTGGCACTTTGTACTCTAGTTTTGTTTCTGAATCAAGTATATTAAATTAAAGCCCACCTAGCTACTACATATAGAAAGCTACATATATATCTATATATAAATACACACACACATATATATATATAGATAGATATTTCCTCGTTATAAAAGATGAAGAAAAATAAATTAAAAAGCCAACCCCTTCCCTTTCTCCACCACACTGATATGCTCTTTCCATCTTTGCTGTCCTTCAGACTTTAAAGTGCTACACTGAGTTATTGAGAGAATAAAAGTTCAATAACACTTAGTTGGCTTCATGAGGCTCATGTTGGAAAATGTGGCTTCACAGAGAAAAATACTTCCATTTAAATACACAGAGAGCATTGCTGGACGTCTTGAGCAGATCTTCAGAGATGGAGAAGAAAGCAAAAGTGTTGGGTGGTGCCCTACAGAGTCACACGTCTACGACCATCTTTTTGTGGATATCTAGGCCTCCTACGACCTGGGGGAAAAGAGAATTGTTCATGAATAGATGAGAAGCGGAAGTCAGCCAGATGCCAAGGACACGCTTTATTCACAAGATGCGTTCGGGTCGATGATAATGACAAGACTCCCCTGGCCTCTCCCAACCAGCTCACCTTCCTCAAGTGCCGACAGATGAAAGGATTTCCTGTCACCCGCAGCGATTACAGCCGTGCCGTTCGCACACTCACAGGCCTGAGAAGCACAGGTGTGAGTCCCTCCCCCATCGCGCATTCTGACCCCGTACTTTGTTTCCCCACGTCAAACAAAACGCTACCCGGGCTTCCCAAGTGCCCTGTGAAAGTGTGTTTCTCCATGTGAGAGGCAAAGGGCCACAGGATGGGCAGCAGGGTTCCCCACAGGATGCTCGCACAGAGAAAGGAAAAGGAGAGGTGCCATGCCAGGGGAGCTTTTAGAGCACAGAAACAAAAGTCAAAGGGCCAAATGGCACAGACAGTGCTTTTGTGGACAGACAGCACAAAAGGAAAGTAAAATGCAGGAACAGGAGGATTAAAGACAACAAAACCAAAGAAATAAAAAAAGGTAGAGGAAAACCAAACAGCAGCACAAGACAGAAGTCTGGGCAGACCAGGGACAAAAGAACAGAAATGGGCAACACCTATTTGATGGACAACTACAATACAACAGCCCAGTGCAAGAAATAAACGGGTATTCCACTAATCCAGGTGTCTGCAGGCTGCACTCACCGAGCTCTTTGGCAGACGACAATGTGTTTTCCCACAATGCCACAAAAATAACTAGACTCTACCAAAATAAAGAGGCAGACAATAGAACCTCTTTGCTTTAACAGTTTGGGGGAGGGCAGACTTTTTTCCCCAAACTTGCATTGCTCACAAGTACAAGCAGGTTATGGTCAAACTGAAGTTGTAAATTCAAGGAATGGGCAACAAAGCAGTGCCCAAGTGCCTAGACTCGGACTGCGCTACCCAGGCACATGTATGCTCGTTAATACACTACTTAAAATTCCTGGGTAAACACTCATCACAGTGATTTTCAAATGTTTCAACACGTCATTTACTTTCTCTTTAAGAGAGGAGTTTAACACTTGCTGTCAACTAATTACACCGGGATAGAACGTGGGGGGAAAAATCAACCCTTTCCAGTCTCAAGCACTACATGCAAGCATTCTGCTCAGTGATACCCAACGAGTTTTCCCAATGCCCCTTCCAACTGCCTGTCCCTCTTCAAGAGCAGCACTTGAGGGGTTACTCTCCCTGGAACTGACACAAATCCAGCCACCCCGGCCTTTGTGAAATCCCAGGCTCTGCAGA